CTAATTAGTATGTCTTCTTATCTTCTTTATGTGTGTCCACACCATCTCTTTAAGCATTAATAAATTTTACTATGTCTTCCCCTTCGTTTATATTCCTAATTCTTATTTCATGCTTCATTATTCTTCTATATTCTTCTTGTTCTGTCGGTATTGGGCTCTGTATTCTCATAATTTTTCTTTCAATAATTGTAGGTTTTTTTTCATGTTTTTTCGTAAGACACATTACTTCCGCTCCCTATGCTATAACCGGTCTAGTTGCTGCTCTATATATTTCTGTCTTTGTTTTTTTTTGCTGGTTTTTTGTCTTTAAGTAGTGGGTGATATTTTCAAAACAGCCGGTTTATCTCCCTCTCTCTGTGCGTGGTAGTGTCATGCGTTGGATGTATGATTTGGAGTAGTTCATACGAATTACAATACATTACCTTCGATTGTCAGCGGTATTGCAGTCTAATAGTCAAGCTGATCAGCAGTTTCGGCAAAAATTACTTAATACTGTAAATTTCTTTTTAAAGTCAGTTGTAATTTAATTAAATAAAGAATTGTTACTCTGTTAGTTGTACCTTAAAAACGGCCTTTTTAAAAAGTACCTTCGGGAATGACAACCCTTAAATGGCGCATTCAGTGGATTAGTGGGTGAGTCTCCAGAAGATGCTCGTCGTTTTCAAACATTTACCCCTTACTATACCAAAATCCAGGAAAAACTGCAGCCGCACCCACGGATTCCAGGAAAATTGGCACAGAAACATATTTATGAAGAAAACTAAAAAGAAACTTGTACCAAAAAGGAATGCATTCAAGCATCATCCTATACCTGTAAGCAAATTTCATCTTATTTCTACTTCTAATATCATTTCGCAAGTATCATCCTTTAAAATAAGCGATTCTCGTTCTACTTTCGCTTTCAACAAACAGCCAGTCCCCGTTTCACCACAGAAAAGCTCTTTAATATCGAACAACAAGAGCAAAGCAATTACGATGAAGGTATATACAATGACACATACCCAGATTATTTCTACTATGAACAAGAAAGCTGAGAATATAAGAAAGATATAAATTTTCAAAGATTTCAAAAAGAAAAAGAAGAAACCTAGTAGAATTGCTTTTCTACGCTGACAAAAGAGAGCATCCATATATTACAATTGAAAATCCCCATGAATTACAATTGAAAATCTCCCTCTTAAACGTTTTATTGGTACAGGAGCCACTAAATCTTTCCCTAATCCTGATATAGCCAATAAATTCTACAAAAATAATTCGAAAAATTAAAGTCGAAAATTCCCATGTTGAAAATGGCCACTATTAATACCTAACAATGTCATTTCGACTCAAAAATGCACCCTTAACATTCCAGAGAGTAATTGAGAACGTACAAAAAGAACTTAGAGGAGAAATATGTCTAGTCTACATGGACGACATTATTGTATTTTCAAACTCTCTTCAAGAACAGATGGTAAATTTTAAGAAGATTTTTGAGAGATTAAGAGAAACAAGATTTAAAATACAAGTTGATAAATGTGAATTCCTGAAGAAAAACTAATGCTTATGCTAATATAAAAATTACCACTAATACGTTGTGCAAGGAATTCTACGGTTTAAAAATACTAAAATAGTTAACTAAAAACATCTAAATAGGTTTTTAAAAACTAAATAGGTTTTTTATAGATATATTACGTGTAAATTGTAAATTTTAGGACATCGTACTTTCCAAACAAAAGTTACAGTATCTACTATAATGTAAGTTTCAGCATGGCCAGTTCAAAATTCAAACATTCTTATTAAATTTTGTTGTAATCTGCCAAAGTGTTGTACAAAATAATTGATATGGCAACCCTGTTAGTGTGACATTTCGTTTGAAGCGTTTCGAAGGCGGAAGTAATGCTATCTATCGATGATAAATATTACCGATGTTTCAGATGGAGCTACTCTACGATACAATTTGATGGCGGCAGTTCAAGATATAATTCTTGTTTAACCAGATTTTTCCTATGTTTAGGAAAAAATATTCAACATTTTATTGCAAATATTTTCCATTTTTACAGTTTTATATATGTTATTATTAAAATGTTGTCCAGTTTCTTACCGGTAGCTTTATTATAAGCCAAAACATATTATTTTTTCCTATTGTGGCAAAACTGTACATTTAAAAATCTTTAAAAACTTCTTAAGCATTTCTTAGGATTATATCTTTATGCTGTAAGAAAATTAACAAAATTGTATGTTTGGTTTTCCCGCTTTATACTTGGAAAAAAGTAGTTTTTTTTGAGTTTTTTCGAAAACGAAAACATGAAGTTTGCTCAAAATTTGTCAAAATACTTCTAGTTATCATATACACCTTTTCAAATTTTTTGAATGTGTAGTTTATCTTTTAGGGTGCAGATCAACCTTAAATGTGAAATGTATCTACTCTCATTCACTTTATTTAAAAAATTTACCTCCTGGATATTACCGTGACGGTATGTATTCGCAAACGTATGCCACGTACATGCAAACTATTGAGCAATTATGATCGACGATATCTAGCCGAAAGTAGTAGAAAATATGTTCCTGAATATTATTTAATGAACATATAGCTAAAAATATAAAACAGGTACATCAGTCAAACATTTTAGTAATTTTTTTCGAATGCTGTAATTTTGTTGCTGTCTAAACTCAAAGTTCTTATTGGAACATTATTTATCAAAAGCATCATTAGTGTATATAAATGTAAAGTTTTGTATAAAAAATGAGACTACAATGATAATTTTTTGTTACTGATATATTTGCCAATCTAGAATTGACAACAATAATACACTATTAGATAAATAGATAATAACAAGGAATATTCGTTAAGCTGAATATCAGTTTGATAACAATTTAAATGGTGTTAGCCACAGGAAGCAGTGATAGAAATCCGATTTCACAGAAAAGTTTTAAGGATATATAGTAGATTCAAACCGTATTATCTGTTCAATTTTACTCTACGATTATGAAGAATATAATAAGTAATACCAAATACATCTTAGCGATTAAAAACCGGTTAGTAAAATTAACAGATACATAACAAATTAAGTTGTTTTGAGATAATACTAGTTGGTTCTTACTGCTCTTTAACTTAGGTGTTCTCGAAATTTTTAATGCTATTCACCCAAAAATTAATAATCGTTTATTTGACATAATACCTTTATATCATTAAATGAATACATCCCTAAATAGAGCTGAAAAGAAAGACTATATTAAAGCCCAGACAAGCGAATAGAAATAGAAAATTCACAAACAGTTATAGCAACTATTAAAGTTGAAATATTTAAAATTATAAAAAATATTTTCCTTTAAAAATAACATTACCGAACTTCTGAAACTGACTAGATTTATATTCTAAATATAGAAAAAATGGATATTATTAGAAAGACAAAAAATACCAGCTTGTCAGCCAGTTTGCCACTGGTAGCATGACAGTTTGACTAAGTAGTCTGATACGTTCTCGACCTCGTCCACAAATAGCAGAACTATTCTCGTGATTTTCCCCTTATGCATGTTAGTACACGCATGTAAAATTGCAAATCGTTCCAGGCAGTAGTTGACTGTAAGCAGTCGATCGAATTATTTGTGGTGTTCAAAATAGAAAAAAATCGATAATCGCACAATGATAAATATTTTTTTAGATTACTCCACCAAAGTACGCACAATACTGCAACCACACCGGAAATAATCGGGAGATCTGTAGGATGAAGTGCTGGAGCAGCCACAATAATTCCCAGATTTGGCTTCCTCAAATTTCAGTACATTCTCAAAACTGAAGACTTCCCTCATAACGACGCTACATCCGAATGCCGATTAGTAAAATGTATTAATATTAGAGCAGATTATGATGAAAAATAAAACTTTTTGAAAGTATATATTGTCATTTTGACCATCAAATCAAGAACTTTTCAGGTCGACTCTGCACATCAAAGGAAGATAATATATTAGGAGTAGATAAACTTAATAAAATTTAATATAATCGATTCAAACTGTAAATCCCTTCCGAAATATAATGACAAACCAGATAATATAAGATACACAGGTACAATAAGAAGATATAAATCCTAATTAGCACTCACGCATTGTTTAAACAAATCACATATAAGTGTAAACTAAAAGATACTGTTAGGCAAAAAATTGAGGTTAACTATTAAAAAACTGCCATTTCACGGCCGGTGTCTTGAAATGACATATTGGTTTTTTCAGGTTTCGTCAAGAAAAAAGAATTCCAGACCACAATAATTAAGTTCGAAAACTAATAAATAATTTCTTATTTGTGCAATTCTCCACTAAATGGAAAAGCACTGTCCAGTAAAGTCCTGTAAAGTTTTTTATATCAATAACGATATATTATTAAGTATTCTTGGCACGCCACAGCCTATTTAGTAATTTAATAATGGAATGTTTACATTAATGAATCACCTCAAAACACAGTCCCCTGGTACGTCCCTTTTCCAGAATTACAAATCTTGTTAAAGTATTTATTTTTTTGTCTAATAACTGAAGAAAAATATTCTAACACATATGGAAAAATCCAGATTTATGTCTAGAAGAAAGATTATTTTAGTATTTTTTTTATATCTGTACCGGTTATTGAGAAATAAGTTATTTATAGTTTTTTTCTTTTTTCTAAATTAGGGTTTTAAAAAATAAAACCTTACAAAATTAATTGTTTTGTCCATAAAAACATTCCCCTTTATGCAGGCACGTAGCCAGGATTTGGTTTTGGGGGGGGCTAATTTGATGGGTTGATTTCGGGTCTGCCTCATATGTAAACTTAAATGTAGACTATTCCAAGAATAAATAGTGTATACTTATAATAAAAAATAATGACGATGACGGGAAGAAACTAATAACATGAAAGACTTTAACTTTTAAAATATGTATAATTGAACAACATATATATAAAAGTGTACTTATTTACAAATTAAACATACAATTTACAGATAGTTTATTTAACTCCTGCTTAATTTACAGTATTGTGGTTCAATTCAATTAAATTATAGTAGCAGTCTCCTTTTCTTCGCGCCTGCCATTTTGTCAATTATATGATCGGGTTTTATATTTATATCTCGATGAGTGGCTACCATAACTAGTGCGCTCAACTTTTTATCTGACATTAAACTTCTGTGAACACTTTTCACCCTTTTCATTGTTGAAAAAGTCCTTTCCACACTGCAAGTGGTCACTGGCATAGTAGCTAATACCGTCAGGAGGTAATGTATTGTCCGGTAGTACGTTTTGTCACATAGTTCAAGAACTTTCAAAACTTCAGTCTCCTTTTTCAGTTCTCCTTTTGTACTGTTACACCACAGTATATACTCAGCTTTTACAGCAGCTAGAGATAGATTCCCCTCAAAATATTGAGTTAGATTTTCCAACAGATTTACTTTTTCAGGACTTGTAAATCCCGGAAGGAGGATTTGAAAACTAGATAAAATGTCTTCATTCGCTAAAAACCTTTCTGTTAAATTTTGAATAAGTGAGTCAACACATGGTATGTACATTGTTACTCTGAAATAATCTTTAATTGAATTAGTCTCTGGATTTGAACGATGTGGCTGACGTGAAATCAGTCTGGGAATTGCCAATGGACACTCAAATATTTCCCGACTTAGTGTTTCAGCTGAAGTAAACATGTCTCTAAAATCATTCATTGCATTATTTCTCATAGATTTCAAAGACTCCAATAATGTTTCTGCATGGTTAATAGTAGACACCATATCTAGATTTTTTTCCTGAAGTGATACAGACAGGGGCAAAGTAAGGCTAAAGAGTTTTTCACACACAAACAGGCTCACGATGAAGTCACTTTTTCCAACTGTAGCCAAGAAGCTTGCTGCTGAAGAAGATATTTTCTGGGGTGTCTGTGATATTTCTTCTAAGCTTACAACAATAGGATGCAATAGCTCCGCAAATGTTAACACACTGTTGTGTCTTTCAACGAAACGTGTTTCGCATAGACGTGTTAGCCTTTTTTTCTTTGAATCAGCGGCATGAATGTTAATATTGTGTTGTAAAATATTGTTAGCGTGTGTACTGTTTCTGAAGAAATTTGTAATCTCTTTTATTGCTCCTAAGCAGTTTCTAACACAAGAATTTGAAAATGTATCACCCAATACAAGGTTTAATCTATGGCTGGCACAATGGAAGTACCTTGCTTTTGGGTATTTCTCTCTGATCCTGGTTTGAACTCCAGTAAGATGGCCAGACATGGTGGCAACTCCATCATACCCTTGTCCTACACACTTGTTCAAATTTAAATTCAAATTGTTACATTTTTCCAAAATTACTTTCGTAATATGCTCTGCACTTTGACTGTATATTGGTACAAATCCAACAAAATCTTCTCGTATTACGGGTGTTTCATTCTTATAATCTACGTAACGGATACATATTGAGAGTTGTTCAGTTGCTGAGATATCCATTGTTTCATCGGCCAGGATAGCGAAGCAATCTGATTTTTGGATTCTAGAAACAATCTCTTGTGTCACTAAATTTGAGCAGGTTTGAATAATCTCGTTCTGAATCTCAGGACTTACATATGTAGCGTTCTTACCACAGTTAATAATATGCCTCTTTAAATTTTCGTCTCCAGCACATGCTCTAAACCGAAGTAAAGCACGAAATTTACCATCTTTTTTATCTGGTTTTTCTAACGTGAGTGGCCCACTGTCTTCATCTCCTCTTAACGGCAGCTCTTGCTCGGCACAAAAAAGTATTGTTTCAATTATAGGCCTTAGTGCCGACCTATTCTCCTCTCTTTCTCTCGCGTGTTGAGTGTGTAGCTGTGAATGTACATCCTTTTGTTTTCCTGACATGACCATCATGAATTGTTCTGCAGATACTACACACGCCTTATGATAATCTGTCATGGAATGTTTCATGAAGGTTTCCTTAGCTTTTTTCCAATCTCTAAATCCACTACTGACCAATTTTCCAGGAGCCTCATGACCTCCTTTGCCCACGCCCGTATTAAAGAATAAAAAGCACGGTTTGCAATAAACTGCATCTTCTTTTTTCGAATATCCTAAAAAAGCAAATCCTAAAGTTGGGTCTGTCACCCAGTTTTCTTGGAATTTCCTTTTTTGCTTTTTGCCTTCACTTGAAGGATACACGTACGGCTGTTTTGGAAGCAATACTGACTCAAGAATATTTTTTTTAAGTTGTCATCAATATCTTGTTTAATGTTACCTATATCAAAAAAATCTGGAAGCCATATTGATTGTTCAAAAGTTTTTGGAACATGTCCCGAAACTAGTTCCTCATCAACTTCCTCTTGGCTTGAACAGGGGATAACTTGTACTTGTGTCAATGCACTGGTTGTACAGGACATGGAACTGGAACTGCACGCATCAGCATCTGAAAGAAAACACAAATAATCGTAATTTTTATCACTACTAACAAAAAGTGATTCGGGCATTCACCATTTTATAGAAAGAATTAATTAACTTCAGTTACATAATAGCCGAGGTTTCAACTATACTATATTCACTTTAAAGAAAAGTATCATGTCAACAAATGCATGCACAGAACACGTGAAACCTGATGTTTATATAATTGTACAGGGTTTTATTAAGATTATATAAGTCTATAAGTCTTCAGCACCTCTAAAGACTGTGTATGAATTGGTCACGCGTTTCTTTTGTTTACAGTTTACTTTTCTTTAAAGTGAATATAGTATAGCTTCTTAATTTATTGATAGACACGCTTACCTATTGACAAATTAGTTTCCTGTTTCAGTTTTTTGATGAATGATGTGATGCTGGCTTGAGTTGTTCGTTTCATCTTTTATCCCGTCCGACACAAACTGACCACAACGTCAAACAACAACACAGATTCAAAAATGAAAAATACAGCCAGATCGTCTGTCGTCTGACACTGTCTGAATGCTACTGCTAGCCTAGCGACACTAGCGAGGTGGGCGGCCCGCGGCCAGGCCTGCGTCACTCACGATGCACCATTTCTCCCACGAACTGCACAATGCTGCCAATTGTGTTGTTATAACAAGTTGTAAAACCCTCTATTTCAAAATTTGATAACATAATTTTGATCGAGCTTACATTGCTTGTTCATTTATTGATATTGTACTAAAATATAGAATAACTCTGTATAGTTATCCTTTAATGCTTAATGCCAATATGTTTTGTAAATCTAAAAAAATTTTGGTCCATTCTCTGAAAATTTCGGGGGGGGGGCTGAAGCCCCTCAAGCCCCCTCCCTGGCTACGTGCCTGTCTTTATGGCTACAACAGTCTCCTGTCATAGGTTTGCGTAAAATTATCCATAACTCAAAAACCAAGAGGAAAATGTGTTAGCTTTTTGAAGATATATATTTAATTTACTATTGCCTTTATTTTATTAACAAATATTCTCAATATTTAATAAAATTTGCTGTCCCGAAAGTCTTGTATAGAAAATTTACAAATAGCAGTGAAATACCCATTTACATTAAAATACCAATCGTTTTTTATTTGAAATCATATTTGTCTTTATATTAATTCGCGTCCTCAAAAGACTATAGGTGGCAGTACTTGTTTTGAAAGATGGCGGACAAAATAGGGATATCGTTTGTTGACATGGTAAATTTGATAGGTAAATTTAAAATATATCTAATTAAAGGGGAAGCAAGCTCATTATTTTTAAAATTTGATGAACTTTATACCAGTTTTAAACTCTAATTTATTCAAATTTTTGACATTTATTCATATTTATTAGTTATCTATTTTGGTTTTGAATTGCGGTCATTGATAACTACCGAATGTGTGTAAGTACGTGGTGTATTTCATTAATATTACTGGGAATGTTCGAGTTGATTTTTTTTCTATCTCCTAGAATAAGAATTCTCTTAGTGAATGTAAGTTGAAGTTTTAGATTTGTGATTTGTGTTGGCAATTCGAAAATTAGTCTAGGCAGCATCGAATATCCCAATGTCTACCTCTTCCAAGATAACATACATCGTAACCTTAAGGTTAAACAAAGACAGGGCGGCTTGCGCCGCGTCGGCGTTGCAAGCGATATCTCGTCTATGGTACTTACGTTGTGCAACACAAAGGAGGCGTTGTTTGTCAGCTCGCCGCGTCGGCCGCCGCGCGGCCTACACTGAGTACCATGCGCCGTAGGCGGTTTTATGACTTCTGGCGGCGCATCAGTGATAGATATCTCGTGTTTCAACACAGACGTATGACTGTTTTGCAACGGTTTTATTTGATTACTTTTGTGACTGTTTGCCACATTTTGTATATATTATGGAAGCTATAGACATCGATAAATTAATTACCGAAATTCACAAATTTGGGATATGCGCTCAAATGAATATTCGAATAAAATAAAGAAAAAACAGGCTTGGGAAGAAGTTACCCACAGTTTTAATTCGGAAGAGCTTTTCTGTGACATATTTAATTTCGTTAACCAACGTGTAAAACATTCCTTTAGTTTTTGACTCATTTACTATAGGATTTATCCAATAACTGCGTTTCTTCTTCTTCTTTGATCTAATATGAAATAAACTTATTAGGAAAAACAGATCGTCGTCACTTTCACTATATGATTCTAGAGACATCATTCATGCCATTCTACGTCCAAAACTCGATTAAACTTGACAACAACGAATACAATGTCAAAACTACTGCCACTGTTAAACCGCGTCATGTCTTTTAAACCGCGCGGCAGCCTGTCTGTGTTTAACCTAATAGATTGATGACCTATTTAGTAATCATAGTTCCAAACAATATGATTTCGGGTAAAATTGAATGGAGCACACACAAAAAGGATATTTTAGAGACTAGTACTTGGTGCCAATTAAACAGTGGCAGGCATAAGTCGGTCGTAATGGCATATAAATATCAGCACATATGCCCCTAAATGAATTCCGAGCTTAAAATTGTTTCCCCGGTAGAAGGAGTCCGGTGACTTAAGGAGGAAATCGTTATTCGCATAAAGTTATTATAAATACTATATTTATAGTTTTTTTCTTTTTTTTTTTTTTTTCAAAGTCTCTAACAAATATATACGCAAATGGGCCAAAGTTGTTTCTTACTATTATTTACTGAAAATATCCTTTATACAAGACTCCTAGTAGTATGGATTGCTAAATAAAATAAATTTCATACGTACAGTATATAAAATTTTGCAATTCGCTGGGCGAACTAAGCAGCTGATCAATCTGAACGGTAAGACAAAAGATGACAGGTCTCGAAAAAATAGCGTGTGATATAAATGCTACATGGATGAAGTTTGCATTTTTACGCTTTTAAAAACTTTGTAAGTATCCCCAATTTTTTACCAAGAGTACATTGTGAACAACAAAAATACTACAACAAAATGTTAGTGACATAGTTTGATCTGAGAACAAGCAAACAGATTTGTCAAAGCTGTTAATTTAAGAATTTACTTACGAGTTTTTCTTTTATTCTGTAAGTTTAAAGTATACATTTTCGAACACATTTCTTTTGCACTTTCTATTCTTTTCATCCACAAGCCACACTCGCTGACAGTGTGAACTAAGAGAGCTATTTTGTATGTATTCTTGTCGTCCTGAATATTGAGAACTCTATTGGAATCCGTTCCACTTTCTATATTGTCCGAACTGTCTCTACTCACCATCAAGTTTTGAATTAAAATAGGCTGTAAAAGAAATGCATATTAATAAGTAAAACCTAAATGTATAATCTCAAAGCTATTAAGATTGGAATATACCATAATGTGCAAAATATAAATAGGCATAAGCCCTTTGATGTTCTCTACAAAGTTCTTCGGAATGACAAGAAGGCAATAAAATCAAATTCCTCTACTTTGTTTACTTACCTGTTTATATAGTTTATACGATACGTTTTCATTAATCTGAAATGTAAACTGCACTCCTATGCTTTTTGTAGCTTGAACAAACATAAAGAAATCGTTAAATAGGAATCCTAACAGTTCTTTATTGCTTTTTAATTTATTAAAAATGCCGTAATGCAATAATTGACGTGGACCCAATTTATTTGTTTCGCTATTGAACACAATATTTAGATCATTTTGAACACATTGTTGTAACCAATTTAATCGATCTTGGTTTTCTTTCAGTCTAACGTTTTCGTTGATAGAATTTAGAAAGCTTTCGGCTAGAGTTAATGCCTCCTGGAGATTCTTGTAATCTGAAATAAAAAATTTAAAAAATAGAATAAGCTATTATTTATACAATAAATAGGGTGTCGTAATGGAGGGAAAGTGATAACTGACATTGTTATTTTGTGTGTTACAACGTGTTGCCACAATAATAGGAACCATTTCACTACCAAGCAAGAATAAAAAAAAAACTCTTCAACTCACTAAAAAACGTTCTCGAAAAAAGAAAGTCATACTACAAACTATACACTTAAAATATAACTGCGTTTGATCAGGCAAAAAGAAGGGACTATTTTTCTTAAACTTATTCCTCTGTTCATGCCTTTTTGTGCAGAGGTGGGAGAATTTTATACATTTTTCACAATTCTAGAGTTACATAGCTATATACAAATACCCATTAGAAGCTGCTACTACCACTTGTCATCATGACGAGAGAGAGGGTGAAATAAAATAACCAGCTAAAGAGCGATAGAGGAAACTAGTTGAGAGATCATGTTGACATTGGAAACTACCGACTTGCTCAGTCTACTTTATATATAAGTCTATGCTACAAACTGGACGTAATTGCTATATCTACAGATAAAAAATTGTTATCTTCACAATTAAAAAAGTTATTTTTTAGAAGGCACGAATATGCCTTGTGTTCGGCATCAAGTTGTTAGGGGCATAATTAAATTACCAAGCCACATAATTAAATTAAGGAAAACTCAGAATTATTAGACCAAGATTGCTTTGGTCATCGAATTATTAAAACCTCATAATCCATTAACGTCTTACAGCTGGCCGTCATATCACTCAAAAGCCTAAAAAACGTGAAAGTATCTCAACTTAAGCAAGAAACTTTATTTTAGCATGATATGTTTTGTTCTATTATAGTGAAATGTACAATGCTATTTTTTTATTATAATTTATTATTCAATCAACATTCTCAAATAAAAACAATACTTTTTGCTGATGACAGCTAATAATCTAAAAAATTCCCCACTATAATTCGAAGCAAAGCGATAGCAAAACTTTATTAGCATATTAAATCTTATCATCTACCTTTAGAAATTAATTCAGTAATTAATACCCTTATCTGCAGATAAATGTGCCTTTGCAATAATGCAAGTAGACCTGCTGAGCTCTCTACTTTAAAAGAAGCCTTCATCCAAAATGGTTACCGCCAAAATCACAATCAAAATCCACAGACATCAATCCCCCACTCAATCTCAACCCAAAGACTCAGACCCTCACCATACGAAAGCTTTTCTTCCTCACATCGAAGAAGTCACTGACAAAATCCTTAAATCAAGAGGAATAAAGAGAAGATTTACCCCCAAACAAAAACTTTCATCTCTTCATTGAAATTATGAAATTCCTTGTGCAGACTGCGCCCATCTTATATAGGCCAAACAAATCGTAGAATCCAAACTAGGATTTATGAACATTCCATTTCTGTTCGCAAAAATTCCAACTAAGTTTCAGCTCTAGGTTAATACCATCTTCATATAGGTCATAAAATTGATTTTGAAAACTTCAGAACCATAACCCACATCCGTTTCGATAAACCAAGAATTATCAGTAGTCATAAAGATTGAAAAAAGGCCAAATTGTCTCAATAAAAGAGATGACGGCATTCGGTTACCTTCGACATAGAGACCTCTCATAAAGAAAATATGGTCCGCTTCGCTTTCCAATCAAAATCCCGCTGTCAGAAATCTTCGCGTCAACCTCCACCCAAATCACGTCATCATCAACAGTATAAATAAACTGTCCGGTGTCCCCAGTAGCAGTAGTACCGTTCCCGTCATAAAAAACTGGTACAATTCTTATAATCAAAAATCGTGTTTTTTAAGTTGTGTACGTTGATCTTGTCAGATGTGTCATTCTAATTTCTAGGGCACCATTGCCAGTTCAACGAAAATATATAAAACCAGCTAAAAGCAGGACTGTGTGACAGACCGCCAGTTGTGAGAATACTAAAAACTAAAACATTATCGAGCATTCTCGATCAGTCAGTCACATTAAATTTGTTTAAACATGCATCCTAAAAAATATTCTCATATTAATTTTGTAATTTTTCATCATCTCGATTAATAACCCATACATTGATTTGTATTTTATAACGATTTATGAAAATATTTCAATTCAAAAATAATGACAGATAATCAATCTACACAAACTTCAAATTATTATAATAAAATATTACAGTGAGATATTGGATTAAAACTGTCACGTTTTAAAAATCGTTTTTTCGCCCCGGATATTTTATAGTTTATAATACGTAGGATAAAGCAAAATGTTATTTTTTTACATTTATTGTTCCTATAATAAATAATAATTTAATCTTGGTAGTTTGTTACTAAACTTATTGACACAAAATACAGTACATGTTCGATAGGTAATTGAAGTATAAAATTACAGTAGATGCATTCCAATGTTCTCTGTGCCAATACCACAGGTTTAAAGATCTTTCAAACATTTTGGACAATAACTCAACCCTGTCTTTGCTTATTTAATTTCTTAGATACGGTTTTTTGATGTTAATGATAAATATAATACCTATCTAAAAATTTTATACATTTTTAACGTTATTTTTTTATTTAGATTTAGTGCAATTCCGTTATCTGTATTGGCAACAACGAATTGATTTCTGAACACAGGTTTACATTGGGAAAAAAAAGTGTACCAGTTTTATATGACGGGAAGTGTACAGTGATTAGTGATCAGTGAAGTATTGTTTTGGGGGCCCAGGAGACAGAGATCCCGGAAGTCCTGAAGAAGACATCAGAGAGGATGTCGAAAGCTCGGCGCAGTAATAATCTTAGTTTTAGGTTAGGGTCATATTTAAAATGCCCAAAATTTAATAAATTCCTTCAAAGAGTTGGAAAATGACTGACAATGATATTTTGGTTATTTTACAATTTCTTGATTAGAAACGCATGAGTTATTGCTATTATCCCATCGGGATATTAATAGTATAAATGAAATCAATGGCTCTAAGCGGACAAAAATTATAATTGATGGAAACCAGTTAACACAGATTAATAATTTTTTCAAAACGGAGAGTGATGAGCGTGGAAGGTGCAGGTGATACAAATTTATGACACCTCTCTGGAAACGGAAAATGAAACGTCTATGATACACTATAATTTTTCCAAATTATCCAAATGGCTAATGCAGGCACATCCTCACTTCATAACGCTAACTAAATTGAGTGTTAGCAAGCCAGTGCAAGGATGTTTATCCTAACTATTTTTTGTAAGTAATATGAAACCGAAATCAAATAGATATAATCTACTAGGATTATGAAATCAAACGGTTGTCTTGTAGCTTGGTTAAAAAACTGTATCTAAATTAGCTTTTAGCAGTTAAGTATTTGCAAACAGATAAAGCTCTTGGATTTCTGAAGACGAGACCGAGAATTCAACACAAAAGCTTCGACAGAATACGATAACACAAAAATCTAAGTGAGAAGGTATATGTGTGTATAGGTTAATAATATAATTGTAATAATAAAATACTTACCGGGATGATCATCAGGCGTATTTTCTAGAATTTTATTAATCAACAACGGATATCTAGTAATTCGCTGCATAGGTTTAATTAAAAACGACGATAAAGGCATTCCTTTCGTGGCGACATTATTTTGACATTTTTTCACTAAATCTCTAAAGGCAGTAGAATTTTCCGTTAATTTTTGTAAGAGAGCAGCGCTGTCTAGTTGTTTGCCACAGAATGTAACGTAAGCTTTCATTTCGGGTAACTAAAATAACATTATTAAACTAAAAATTTACTAAAAATTAAATTAAAAAATTAAATAAATAATAATAATAAATTAAATTAAATTAAAACTATTAAACTAAAAATTTACTAAAATTACATAAATCGTCAATATCACAAAATAAAATATACAATCCATTGCAAAATATCACTAAATTGCAAATTGCATAATAAAACCTTACGAACTAGATAGTTTACGAATAAGTTGTATACAAATACATATAAAAATTCTTTGTTGCTTGTACCTTGTCGTACTGTAATTTCTTAGTTATTCGTTAAGAAACTCTGCCATTGAATAATATGGTCTTTCAGATAGATAGGCTTTTGTCAATTTACGGAACTTGAAAGAAGTTGTAGATTTAAGTTGCAAAGAAAGATGGTTGTATAATTTTTTGTCGAATATAATATAGATTTCTTTACTAACTCAGTGGGCGCGATCGACCAATACACATCAAAGCTTGAATTTCTGGTGGAGTAGTCATGATTAGGTCTTGCTGGAAAAACATGTAGGTGTTTACGAATTAAGCAAACAATTTCTACAATATATAAAGAGGAAAGAGTTAAAATCCCGTGATTTTTTAAGTAGCTTCTGCAATGTGTTATTCTACTGAGGCCAAAAAGATACCGTACTTTTGTAATTTAAAAAAAAAAAAAAACATCAGATTGAGCAAATATACTAGAACCCTAAAAAGAAATGCCATATCGAAGAGGAGACTCGAACAAAGAAAAATATGTTAGTTTGGAATATGTTAAATTGATTTCTTTCGAAACAGATCTTATTGCATATTAGGCTAAGGCTAGTTACGTACTTAACAAATCGATACGAAGGGATTATTTAAGGTTGCAGTCTATAAAAATACCAAGAAATTTTACAGAATCAACGATACTGATCTGGCTATTATTAAGACGCAAGGGTTTAAGAGCTCCTTTATATTATAATGCTACTGTCTTATCCACGTTAAAAGAGAGTAAATTAGAGTCGGACCAGGTTTTTATTTTAAGTACATCAGAAGTTATAATTGCATGAAGAGTTGCAATATTAGAGTTCCTCCAGGTAATACTGGTATCATCAGCAGAAAGAAAAACTTTTTCCATCGATTTTTAAGTTAGTAATGTCATTTATAAAAATAAGGAAAAGTAGAGGACCCAGTACTGAACCTTATGGTACTCCACATAAATGCTGTTGTGACATTATTATTAGTCAGTATCATTTGTTCAAACTACTTGTTCCTATTCCTCAAGTAAGATTGGAACCAATTCAAAGAAATACCTCGAATTCTGTAAAAATTTAGTTTTTTTATCAAAATGTGATTTACACAATCAAAAGCTTTGGCATAGTATACTCCATTCCACGAATATACGACTGTTTTAAATTTGGTTTAAGGTATCGACTTAAATGGCCCAATGTGCTACATTGTACAATAGTAAATTCTCCCCATTTTAAAATCCTGTTATGGCAGATATAAACCTTAGATTTAAATATGAAGTCGTGATATAAATATAGAGTTGATAGTTCATATATTAGTTGTAATTCAGAATATAAATTATATAATTACTATCATTGAGTTTAGTATTCTAAACAAGTTGGTGTTTTAATTAAGTGATTTAAACGAAGTGAAACAATACTTAAGTGATTAAATAGTGTACTTTATTTAGTCGAATATTCAATTAGTATTAAAAAAACAAAAAAAACTTACATATTCTCTTATTCACCTAATCTCCTAAAACTATTATCAACCATCAGATTTACAGCCATAATCACTGTCGTCGCTATCCTCATTCGGGTGGTAAATTATAACAGGATTAACTGCTTCAATGCGACCTTCACGGATCCACCATTCTTTAATTAAGTCTTCACATTTTTTAACACTTTTCCCCAAATTCCAGGAGTGGCAATATCCAATGCTTGTTACCATGTTCCAAGACTGCCTCGTCACTGTAACCCTTGTATCCAATATGGTTATCATAATATGTTTTGCATATCCCCCAAATATATTCAATTGGATTGAATTGGCAATGATAGGGCGGTAGTCTTAACACACGATGTCCAAAGTTATGTATAATTTCGTCTACTATATATGTGTTTGGTTGTGCATGACTTTTAGCTAACGTTAGTAATTGAGGCTTAAAACAGTATTGAGGAAATGTAATATTTTTATTCGTTAACCATTCTTCTATTTTATCTACGATCTAGGTGTTTGTCGCTTAACAACAGTTTTTCTTTTAACCATTTCACAAACATCTCCGTATTCATATTGTCATGATATAATCGGCTGATTTTGATTTTGATGAAAACACAAGATCTGCTCCCTCAATAAAACCATGTTTTCCACCTGCATGCACTATAATATATCTCTTTCCCTCGTTATCGATGTGTTTTATGGATTTTATACTCTCGTCCTGCCAAATTCGTTTAATACCGCCTTTAGCAAAAATCCATGTTTCGTCTAAATAAACGAAGGAGATTTTTTTTTTTAATTTGTTGTAATTTCTTAAAAATTCTATTCTTTTGTGAACGACACTAGCTCTTTCACACAAAGCCTTTCTATTGTCTTCCTTTTTGAACTTAAAGCCAGTCTGTCTTAAAACTCTCCAGAGACTTGTTCTGAAAATTTCAAATATATTTCTGTCTTTTATTTTTTGTAGCACTGAATGTAAAGAAACATGTTCTTTCTTTTCGCGCATTTTATATATTGTCTCACGGATTTCAAATTTGCAACCTTCCGGAAGATCTATAGTCTTTGGTTGTCGGCGAGATTTATATTGTGCGACATTTTGTTCATTTTGTCCACTTTTTTTTTCCTTTTTGCAAAACCGACTTTAGTTTTGTTTCACTAATACAGAGTGCACACACACGTTTATGTACGGACTGAACAGGTCGCAAAGGGCCCCGTTGGTTTTCTCAGCAGTAAAATAAGAAAGTACAGTAAATATTAACATCTTGTCTACATCTAAAACACCTCTCGGCATTTTTGGCTTCAATAAACAAATACACTACACTAAACTCTCTCTTAACGGACACCTCTCTTCACCGGAAACCTCTATACGGTCGGTTTTTAAAACTAAAATCAGTCGGCGATATATGAAACGGTATGTAAATTTTTGTTACTTTTTAATATCTGTAACGACTCGGTACTTTAACTATCAATAGCCGGTATGTTATACCCGTTATAAAAAAACTTTCGGAACTTTTACGAGTACATCCACTCAAACCAAACAAATATTTAAAACTAACAAAGTGAAATATTATATAGATTATTTTTCTGGTTTCTGAACCATCGTTCTGCCAATTTCTTTTTATTTTTAATAAAAATAGAATATTTATTTTTATTACAGTTGTAGTACCTAATAAAGTAATAAACGCTTCTTTGCATTTGTTTAGAAATGTTTACATTTCAAATGTACCTACTTTGTTTACATTTCACCGAAATCCAACAAAATGTCTAATGACCATATTTTCGTAAAAATGAGCGTTTGCGAAAATTTTTTTTGTTACTTTCGGATTAAATTTCACAATAAATTTTGCGTCTATTTGAACATCTATTAACTGAAATAATTTTAGTTCAGATGTAATACTAACAGTAGATGCGTTTTATTGGAATAATAATTAGACCAATTTACTCTCATACTTCTACTTGCATAGTAAAATATTCTTTGTCGCAATAATTCCAAACAGTCGTATATTCGTGGAATAACCTTATAACAAAAAACAGTAGCAGTATAAAGATTATTGTTTAGTGCTTGATAGGCCTCATGTAGTACAGAAAACATAGCATCGCTTGTACATTGATTAGATTAAAAGCCGAACTGACTTTGTGATAAAATGTTGTTTTCAACGAGAAAGGACATAAGTCTCTTAATGATTTTGGATAGGACCGGTAGTAAGGAAATAGGTCTATAGTTGCAGACATTAGATTTGTCACCACCCTTATGAAGAGGAATAATGATGGCCGTCTTTAGGCACTCTAGAAATATACCTTTTTTATAGGAATCGTTAATTAGTGAGACTAGGACTTCCAACACATTATTTGGGAGATTTAAGAAAATTTTTATGGATATTCTATCAGTACTACAGGAAGATTTGCTTTTGATACTGCTGATTGTTTGGATCAGTTCAGATTTATCAACTGGTCTTATAAAGAATGGATTCGAGACCTTTTTTGAATTGGGGAGATAGAAAATAGAATCTTGTTGTGGCTAAATAGTTGATGTTATATTTTTACTTACATTAACGAAGTATTTATTTAGATTTTCAGGGTTTGGAAGAGAAAATGTTTGAGCTGTGTTAGTTTTATTTCGAAGATCGTTTATTATGGACCAAGTTTCCCTTGCAATATTTTTAGAGCTTCCCAGATTCTCATAGTACATTTGTTAACTCTTTTGATAAGTTTTAGATAGGTTCCTCTCTACTTGGGGATAAATTCAGTGACAAAGACGTTGGTAGTAAATGTACGGTAGTGAACGCATATTTTTGGCTGATATGTAGATACCTTTGTTCTTACAGGGTTTGTGATGTTTTGACTAAATTGTAATTAAAGGAAATACTTTATTGAAAATACAGACAAGCCTATGTAAAAAATTACTAAAATTATAGTCTACGTCCACAAAGGGAAAGTGACACCCAAAAGTCAAGCACAAATTTTGGAATTTACAAGTTCTGAGTGTATTATGACGGCACAGCATTAAGAAAATTTAAAATATAAAAACGCAAATAATACAATCTTACAATATTAATAATTATTGCTTAAAAAAAATACTTACATGTTTACATATAATATGGCCGATCATATCACTTCCAGTCTTATTAGCATTCAATAAATCTTTGAGAAATAATTTATTACAGAATATTATATCTTGCCAATTGACGAATATTTCGTCAATTTCTTTAGCTGAAATCAATTTGCACTTCCTTAAGGGTTCTTCGAACACTTCGTGTACAACCGACATGTCATGGACGTAACTCTTTTCGGTTTGTACGAACTC